GAGCCCCGCGTCAGGCTCTGGGCTGATGGCTCAGAGCCTGGAGCCTGTTTCCGATTCTCTGTCTCCCTCTCTCTCTGACCCTCCCCCGTTCATGCTCTGTCTCTCCCTGTCCCAAAAATAAATAAACATTGAAAAAAAAATTTTTTTTTTAAATAAAATAAAAAAAAAACAAACATGCATGAAAAAGTTTAGTATACGTTGAGAAAGTCTCTCTTCCTCCTTCTACCAAGGGAAAATGCCTTATTATACAGATAATATATCTTAAAATTAAGGTATATACAAGAACTTGGATCATGAACCTGCTCACTCTTCTCTGCTAGGATTTAAATTTAGCTCTAACAGTAACAACTGTTGGATTTTATTTTATTTTTTTAACATTTACTCATTTTTGAGAGACAAACAGAGACAGAGTATGAGTGGGGGAAGGGCAGAGAGAGAGGGAGACACAGAATCTGAAGCAGGCTCCAGGCTCTAAGCTGTCAGCACCGAGCCCAACGCAGGGCTCAAACTCACGAACTGTGAGATCATGACCTGAGCTGAAGTTGGACTCAACCGACTAAGCCACCCAGGTGTCCCTACAACTATTGGATTTTAAAGGCACACTGATAAAGTGGGCTATTGTCACTTTCTCATGTTGGGTTTTGAAATTGTAAATGGTGCAATTCAGTTTTTATATTTTTATATTGCTCTCTTTATCAACAAAGTAGATTTGGACCTGTGCTTTTATATGCTTGATAAAGATGATCTTCATTTAGGAAACAGGAGACAGGCTTTGCATTAATTTCCCAACAGAGCTATGTGGACAGACCCACTGACACCTTCTCACCTGCCACTCCACTCACCCCATTCCTCAATCACATGTATGCATCTCTACAGTGCTGACTGAATTCAATGAAAAAAGAAAAGATAACTAACCTGCAAAGAGAACCATGTTTCATCCTCAAATATTAGGAAAGCTTAACACAATGTAACTCTAAGAGAAAAACTCAACTGATCACATGTTCAGTCTCTTATATAGTCAAAGTGGTTTTGGGCTGTTAGTCTCTTAATATGCCAGTTCTCACTTATCTATTTTAAATGTAATTGGATTGGTCAGGCTTTTATTTCCACAAGTAGAAATTCCTGTGAAGACTTAGGGAGCCATCTTTTAAGTCATGCTGTCTGCAAATGATGGTTTCTAGGGCCAGCATCTGCACAGAAAATGGTGGTGGTGAGGGGGAAAAGCTGTGAAACAAAGGACACTGGTCTTCTCCCAGTGGCTCGAAGAACACAAGGGCAGGGTACACACACAACCTGATCCCTCTTCTCTTGCCCCCCTCCCCTCCCCTTTCAAAGTCTCCTCCTGTCTGTGTCAAAATCACATGTATCTCCTACAACCTGCTCTTTGTTCATATAGAAGCACCAGGGCCTATAAGCAAACGAAGATTTCTCTGCCATTGAACCAAATCCACAGAACCCCCAAAATGGACATACATCATACTCAGAGGCATTTATGTCTTCTTGTGGTTAAACAGTTCCAGGGAAACTGCTACACTAGAATCATAAAGTATTTGCAAAGTTATATTTGCATTTAGCCATTATAGAAGGAGAGAAATTTCACCTCTCTGGCAGCTAAGGTGGAAAAACACTTTTTGACAAGAATGTACTTACATCACTCAGGGCATTTCCTGCTGCCTTCAGCTGCTTGAGCAGTGGGTTCTCTGAAGCAGGAAGTACATTATAATCTGCTTTTCCTTTATTCTTTTCATAGTCTTCTTTGTATTTTACCTGTAGGAACGAAATAAAGTGATAAAGTAACTCTCTGGGTTATTTTTGCTCTTGTCTCTATTATGGATATTACGACATAGTTCCACAAATCAACTTTCTAGAAAAGTGACAGCTTGACATTTTACAAACAAAATACTCAAAGTAACTCATAACAGTAGCAGAGAAACTGCATAAATTTCCAGGATAACTTCCTGCCATTCATTTATTCATTCAAAAACATCCATAGGGTATCAATTATGTGCTGGCTCTGAGACAGGTGCAAGGAAGAATAACATATAGTCCCTGCCCTCAAAGACAGAAAGAGATAGCCACACAAATAATGATAGTGCATCATGTCCCAGACACTTACTGCTCCACAACCCTCATTGAGCTCTTAGCCTCTGGCTGCCTAACTTCCAACGTATTTTTAAAGAAAGCAAGCCTCAATCATCATCAATCTACCCTTTAATGCCTCATCTATGACTGTGTGTAAGCATGTGTGTATTTAATGTACATGCAGAAGGAGGAGGAAGGGGCTGGAGGCTGGATGAAGGATGACAACCTCTCCTTTTCTTTCTGCCCCTCCTGCTTTACACCTTTAATTCCAGCTTTAGCAGAAGCTTTAAACAAGGGCTCAGAAGCCCCTGTCTGGAGCATGTCCAAAGGGAGAAGAACAAGAAATGGATCCTATTTCTTGATCCACAGTGCCTGCCATTTATTCCAGCAATATAACTATAGAATATAGGAACATTCAAAGAATCCTAGATAAGCTACTAACATTTGAGAACCTTGAAAAACAGACATAACCAGCTTGGTATCCAAAGGCAGGAGATACACAACTGAAACACAGGTGCACTATCCCCTGTAGCACACAAAGAAGACTCATAGGGAATACACTACAGGAATGAAAGACATAACCTTTCTCTAGTATAGAATTATGTGATTCATTGAAAAATAGAAACAACCAGAAAAGGAGTTCCACACACCCTCCTATCTTCCTACCTGTATCTGGGATATGTGGTCTCCTCTCCTGTTTATGGATGAATTGTCAAGACCCATGGCAAAGTTACCCCTCTTGTTAAGCACCAGAACGTTTCCCTTTTCACCTACTCAAGGGCATTACTTCAGCCACTCTTCCCTCCTCAGACATCATCACGTTTTCCCCCCACACTGGATTTTTTTCCATCAGCATAGAAACATGGTGTCTTTGTCTCCAATCTTAAAAGAATCCCCTCTTCATCCACATATCCTTCAGCTACTACCCCATTTTCTTCTTTTCCTTTCAGGAAAATACTTTTAAAAACTTGAGTATACTTACACTTTTCTATTTCTCTCTTCTCATCCACTCATGAGCCCTCTCTAAGCAGACTCAACCAAATTGCTCTTAAGTTCACCAGAGACCACCTATTGGTAAATCCACTTCAGAAACATTTGACACAACTGATCACTCTCTTCACTCACTTCCCACTTCCCCTTGACTCTATTCCTACCTCACCTCGATGATGTGTTCACATGGAGATACTCCAGAGTTCAGTTCTCAGAGCTTTGGGTCTACACTTGCTCTCTCGATGGCCTCTAGTCTTATGATGTTAAATACTATCCATCTACTGATGACTCCCAAATTTATATAATCCTTCTGGATGCCTCCCCAGAAACTTCAGACTCATACAATCAACAGTCCACTTAATATTTCCACTTGGATGTCTAAAAGACATCTCAAATCTTACATGTTGAAAGCTGAGCTCATGTATTCCCTCCAAAAATAATCATTCACTCTTTCCACATTCTTCTCTATCTTGATAGAGGGAAATCCCATCTCTCTGGTTGCTTAGACCCAAACTTTCCTCACATATCCCACATCCAACCCAACAGCAAACTAGGTCAGCTCTACCTTTCAAAGTACATCTCATCACTTGCCTTGCCCCGTTCCTGATCCAAAACATTACTATTTTGCACCTGAATCCTGAAATAGCTTCCTAGGTGATATGATCTTCCTGCTTTCACTGCTCCAGCAGAGCCAAGGCCAGGTTTGAATCAAGTCTGATTGGCTTTGAAGTTTATGCTCTTGCTAGTGCTTTAGAATGCTAAGGACTCTATTTACCAAAGTCTACTCTATAGAGTATATGCATATCCATGAATTTGTCTATCTTGTCTGTGAGATTTTCACCAATTAGTAGGAAAATAAGAAAAATAATGGTAATGGTGAGTGTGGGAGTGTCCATATTCATATAAGGTCGCCAGTTGTCTTTTCTTGGGGGATCCTCCTATCTGAGAGGATAGCCTTTCTACTTGCAGGTATTAAAAGGTCATTTATGAAATATTAAAGATGGTTATTTAGTATTGCTAATGGTCACACACAGCCAAGTTTTTCAAAAATTGGTAGCCCTATTATAACCCCAGAATATTTCTTTTGTTGTTCCCCAAGAATGCTTTTTTCCCCATTATATACAAAAGCAAGAGTTATAGGAAATTCACCCACACTAAGACCATCATGACAAATGAGAGCATCCCCTCATACCTTGCTAGCTGCCACCCCAGCTTGTTTATTCACTTTGTACTCTGGTGTTTCGGTCTGCATGAAGTAGATCTGGTCTTTCATACTCTCAAAGTCTTCTTGGTATTTCCTCTGTAAGACATTACACATACTGGAGAACTGCTGTGGGCATAGACTGTGCACAGGTTTCACATGGGAGGACAGGGGCTGGTGGGAGAGGTTACACAAAGCCGCTCCTCTTGGCTTACACAAGTCAGGTTACAATGAGAGAATGCAGTGCCATCACAAAAACAATTAGCAACTTAACAGAGATTTGGAGCAATTATAATAGGCTGAAAACCAGTCTTCAAGAAGGAGCTCTAAAAGGCCAGGGGCAGAGAACTTAAGAGAAAAGAAAGAGTGTTTTTCAGTGAAGAAAATCAGGGAAGAAACTAATCAGTTTCATAAATGTACTGTTTGGGCTCCCCAGGCAAAGAATAAATTTAAAAGGGCCCCCTTAACCTGTACTCACTTTGAAACTGTATTGTTCATATGAAAATTGAGGCATGAATAATGGAATCTGATCAAAGCAGTATTTCTCAAAAGGAAAGAGAGATAGGGGAATTTCTTTCTTGATCGGAACTCTATACAGATCTTACCCCCATGAAGGGGTACCCGGACTCTAATGTTCTGGTACCACTTTAGATGCAGCTGAGGGTCTGAAGTCATAAAATAAAGGGTCACACTTTCAACCTAAGAACATCTGGTCATTCCTTCCTACTTACTGTGCTGATATTATCAGCATTCATTCTGGCGGTTGCAATTTCAAAGCAAGGTGTCTCACTCCATTTGCCTTTGACTTTATTTTCATAGTCTTCCTTGTATTTGTTCTAGGAGAAAAAAAAGATGAAATATAGAAAATATAGAAAATGACAAATAGGATAGAAAACTAAGTGGTAATGGGCAGCTTACAAAATTTTATTTTTAACTTAAAACATATCTTGACTATGGTCCTTAAGTTCTTAATAGATGTCTTCAAATGTTCCAGGATAGTATCAATTTACCCAACAAAAAAGTTGGGCGAGAGGGTAGAGGTAATAACTGACCACCTTCCTGTTGAGTCTGGGAACTTAGTTCATTCAAAACTTATAGATGTTCCCTGATGTTTGAGGGAGGAGACTCAGGAGCATCCTCCACTTATATTTCAGAGTTATAATAAAACCACTCAACCCACATTTCCATGCCAGATGAAATTAGCCATAAATTTCTGAGATTTACCAAAACTTCTAATTATCCAGAAAGGAATGCCACCACAAAATTTGGCTTGAAGGCTAATGAATAACACTTTCCAATTTAGACTTGAAGAAATTTTAATGAGAACTCGTAAATAATTCAAAAATTGCCCCATCTTATTCACAAACACATTCCACCTGAACCCCCAGGCTGTGAGCAGCCTTGAGAGGAATTAGGTCTTCTTTATGTTTATATCCTCAGAATCTAACACAAAATGCATCACACAAAAGTGACCTCATAAATGCATGTCCAACAAAACTAAACTAAGCCCATGATATGTGGCTTCAAACTGCCTTGGCCTAGAGTGTTCTTAAAATAAAATTAGGGGCACCTGGGTGGCTCAGTCAGTTAAGCGTCTGGCTTTGGCTCAGGTCATGATCTCACGGTTTGGGAGTTCAAGCCCTACATCAGGCTCTGTGCTGACAGCTCAGAGCCTGGAGCCTGCTTCAGAGTCTGCATCTCCCTCTCTCTCTGCCCCTTCCCCACTCATGCTCCATCTCTCTCTCTCTCAAATAAATAAACATTTAAAAAATATATATGTTTAAAATAAAATTCAACCAGTCAATCTCAAACCTGGGCATATGAGCCAGAGCTGGGTTATAACAATTTCCCCTTCCTGGCTCATAGAAATGTGTTAACAACCAGCGAGTCTCAAAGTGCATGCCTACACCCCCACTTCACTCTTCAGGAAAAAAGAAAGTGATTTTCTGGTATACCTTCAACAGAACCAGTACCAAGGATGAGTGATATGCAAAGCCAGTGAGTTTGAGTTAAAGGATGCTCAGCCCTCTCTCAAATGCCTTTATCCATTCTTCTCAAGAGGCTAATACGCTAAATGCTAGCCAAGTGTTTTTCATAACTATAAATTTTAGATTCCTGGGACGGAGTTCAGAAGCTCTGGGCCCAAGACTAAAGTCCATCATTACCAAAGATGTGGTTTAGCCTCTCCAAGTTTCAGGGTTCTTAACCACAGCACCGGCAATAATAATTCCTTCCACAGAGGACTGTTGAAAAGTTTACATAAGTTTATACCCTGAAGAGTCCTTTGCAAACTCTTCAGTGCTAAACAAATGTATGGTATAATAACAATAATGTTGCCAACATTGCTAGCATAACAGAGTAAGAAACTCTGGAGAAAATTCTGTGTGTGTGTGTCTGTGTATGCACACGCATGTGTATTCTTCAGTGAAAATCTTTGTTGAGATAATATTTACATTTAAGTGTCAATTTGCCTACTCTCTTCTTTGGAAGCTTTAAAAAATTGAAGTCAACTCTTTAGTCAGTCAAAACTGACTGAATTCAATTGGTCAAAATGGATGTTTTGATTTGCTGATTGCCTATAGAAGTATTTCTAATCTTTTTGGCAAATAGACCTCTTCAGAAATCTGAGAAAGCTATAAAATGCCCATAAACACAACTTCAGAGGTTCTTGATGTATACACACCCCAGGTTAAGACCTCCAAATCCACATTTTTCGTGGAATACTGCCCTTTCTCTGCTTGCTGGCAAAGGAAGAGACCTTTAAGATTAGGGGATAGGGGCAATTGGGCCTGATATATCCCCAGAACTTTGTGATAGGATTTAAAATTGAGAAGGCAGCAGATACTCTTAATGAGATCCAAAAGTTGGGTTATTGTGAAGAAATAATTAGAATCACATATATAGATTTGTTAAGAAAATTAAAATTCTTACATTAAGAGATGGATGTCTGATTTTTTAAAAGATATTAAAACAAGATAAAAAATAAGAGTACAAGACCATCCAGCACCCTCACCCAAAGTCCTTCCCCACTTCTTCCTCTTCATAAACCAGTCATCATAGAGTTGGATCTCTCACAATCCACCCCGAGTATTCCCAAGTCTGGGAAGATTTTCATTGTAAGGAAAGAGGCTGGGGCTTGTTATCTATTGAGGAAGTTACGGCCTTCCCCTCCATCTATAGGTAGGAGAGGCGTTAAAAGGCTGAAGGCCTGCAGCTTGAGGAATCAGGAGAGTGAGGTATGTGTCTATGTGGTACCTCCTCTGTCAACCAAGTGGTCTTATTCTACGAGTCTGGCAGCAAGGCCTGAGTACTTATGTGGTACACAGAGATTGTTAGCCGTACCAGGGTCCAACATCCAACTTTCCCCCCAACCCCACTCTAATTCTCCTGTCCAACTCTGTCATAGGTAAAGCCAATCAATGGAAACCTGGCAGCAAGAATCGATTTAATATTCTCTAAGATTCTGTGTTCACTTAACAGAGGAAAGTACATTGAGTCAATTACAAGCTACTAAACACCTTCTGTGGGCAAGAGAGTAACTGCATGTTAATACATGTAGTAAAATTGCTTCCCCATAGTCCTTCCTCCCCAGAAATGAGCTGAGAGTGCTTCCATTGGGCCACAAATTGGACACACTAATGTCCTACTTAAACACATGGTTTCATTTTCTACTTTCCCTATCTGCATCTGTGGTTTTGATGTGGTTATCAAATGGAAGGAATACAAAGCCAGTTTAGTTAATCACACTTCACTCTTTTTCTATGAGTAGCTAAATACTGGGACTTCTGACAGTTTCATTCGAAAACAAGTTATCCTCTCAGAATTGTGGAGGGATTCCCAACTGGTATTTTCATTGCCTACAGTGGGCCCAGGGATGCTTTCCGTACTCAACCAAATCTCTTCTGTTGATATCAATGGAGATCTCCCCCTAATTCTTTATTATAGAGGACTTTCCATGGTTTTAGAAGATCACAGTTTGGCATCTTCATGCTGTGTAACAGTATTTCCTGAAAGATATTTTTTAAAAAACATCCTAGTGAAATAGTATATATCGGTCACTGCCTCCAGTTCCTAACACAGAAGTCCTAAACCTTGTAATCTCCTGAGTGATAGGGTTGTCTTTTGTTTCAATGAGACAACTCCTGGATAGATTTATGATGGGGGCTGGTCATGAGAAAGACCAAGCCATGATTAGAAGCTTGGAACTTTCCACCTCACCCTTCATTTTCTGAGGAGGGGAGAGGGGCTGGAGACAGAGTTAATAATCAGTTAGGCCTATGGGATGAAACCTCCATAAAAATCCATGAAGGACACAATTCATACAGCTTCCATTTTGGTAAGCACATCCACACGCTAGAAGAGTAGTACGCCCCAGCTCCACAGAGACAGAAGGTCCTGTGCTTGGGACCCTTCGGGACCTCACCCCAGGTTCCTCTTTATCTTGGTTGTTCATCGGTGTCCTTTATCATGTAATGAACATAAAAAAGGGTTTCCCTAAGCTCTGTGAGCCAATTATTAGCAAATTATTAAACTTGAGGAGGGGGTCATGGGAACCCGGATTTATAGTCCAAAGTATGGGAGGTCCAGACTTATGACTAGTGTCTGAGATAGGGGTAGTCTCATGGGTCTGGGCCCTTAACCTGTGAGATCTGAGCTAACTCCAAAAAGATAATGTCAGAATTGAACTGAATTATAGGACACCAATTTAGCGTCAGAGAATTTGTTTGGTGTGGTAAAAAACCCATTTGGTGGCAGAAGTACGCATAGAGAGTAGAGGAAACAGAGCTTTTCCTTTCAACTCTATGTCCCTGAACTGGAAATTCTAACCTGAAATCTCACATTTCTCCCTTTAAGAATCTGGAAAGAAGCAGAGAAGCAAGCACAGAGAAACTAAAGGGACTTCTCAATGTTGCATTCAGGACCCCACTTTCAGCTGGCTGTAGTGTGCATAGTGTCCTCACCTGGAAGGCTTGCTTAATGAAAAACCCTGCCTGCCTGTCCGTCTGTGTTAGGGCTACAAAATGCAGCTGAGCCAGGATGAGTGCTGGTATTGGAGCTGGTGCCTTTGGCCAAAGACAAAGGTAAGAGAATTGATTCTGACAGGTACAGTAAGGAAAGCTGGTAAACAGAATATAATCAATATATAAGCAATATAAATCGTTACAGATATACGATCATTATATTAATGTATGAAATAAAGGCTATAAGACAAAGGGATGTATTGGGAGACACAGACAAGGAAATGCTCAATTTAAATACATAAGAGTGAGTACATAAGGAGATTTAATCTATTTTGGAAAGAAAGGAAATGATGATACTGAAACATGCATCAGAGCCCATGACCATGGGGAATACTTCAAGAGAAAAGAGGTAGGTCCCACAGCAAAATCACCTCTTTCTCCTCCACCTGCAGCCCCACTCCTCTCTTATTGGATGGTTTGTTGTTGTATGGACTGCTACAGATCACAAGCATTTCTTCCTAAAGTGAGTGTTATTTTGAATGCACAGCAGCCATTAAGAACTTGGTATTTGGGGAAGACTGGGATAAACAGCCAAATACGGTGACTTTCATCCTCCCCCATTCTCCCTTGGCCTTGTTATTCCACAAGGGCAAATCCAGCCCCCGGTGAGGTTTTCAAGTGTCTAATGATGCCACCGTATCCGGCTGGAGTGGCACAGTCCAACAGGCATATAATGCAAGCTGCCAGTGTAATTTTAGATTTTCTAGTAGCCAATTTTTAAAACGTAAAAAGGAACAGGTGGGAAATTAATTTTAATAATATATTTTTACTTAATAGGTCCAAAAATATTATTTCAACCTGTAATCAGTATAAAAATAATGAATGAGCTATTTTACATTCATTTGGTCATACTAAGTGTTCCCAGTGTATATTTCACACAGAGAAGACCCTCAGTTTATACAATCACATTTCAAATGCTCAATAGTCACATGTGGATGATGGCTACTATATTGACGAGTGCACTTCTAGACTGGTGTGTCTAAATTAGTGGAGACTGGAGCAGTGTGAAAGTGATTTATTTTTTATCACATTCAAGTACCCACACTGCACACTCAAGGTAAAAGCATGTTGCAATAGTAAGAAAGCTTTTAAAATATGTTTTAAATAAAAATTAAAAATAAATTTTTCTTTACAAATAACCACTTGAAAGGAGCTTTTTCTTTTTCTTCAAAAAAAGGTCCATCGCCCTTGTTTTCCATCTCCCTTGTTTCCCAATCTTATTTAAATATCAACACTTTCAGTAGTCCGGCTCTTTATGGACAGTTCTAAAGTTCATTTCCGCTTAGCCCTGGGCAAATGTCAGGGTCATGGCATTCCTATTAGTGAAAAGTTACTGTACTTAGCAGATTCTCCAAATAGCCTCTGGTTATACAGTTAGTAGTCTGCAATATCAGACACTAAAAACATCATTGAATAGACTTCATCATCCATAACTTTTCTTCCTTCTTCTTCACTAGAGACATCCTTTCCCGCAAAATACCTAAACAAAATGGAAACCTTGAGGTTCCATCAAAATTCAAGCAGAAGACCAAACTGGGACTCAACTCCACAGAGGGCCAAGAAAAAAGTATTTAAAATCAGCAGTATCCCAGGAGAAAGTGGCCTGATTTAAACCAATTTAAAATAGGAATTTAGCATGGGTCTGGTCACCAGTTGGACATCTGTCTCTCTGCATTCTCTGTCAGGCCTGCATTCCTCAGAGCTAGCTTACCAGGCTAAATATAGACAGACTAAGCTGTTTGCCTGGGCTTTAAAAGTTATGAGGTGCACTGCCCATGGCTGTCAAACTAATGGCTATGTCTGAGAGATCACGCATGCATTCTTATTTTCTCCATGTCTGACTGATAGCTACAAAACTGTACACTCAATTAAAACAATCAGATCCTCCAAAGAAAACGTGTGGGGACTCAGTTCTTTGTTAGTATCACTCCTGCAAGTCAAAATGTTAAATGACATCAGGGCACAGGTTCTGTTTTCAAAATGCGGCTTTCACATTTCCTCATCACGGAGCCATTAAGCTGGCTAAACATTTATTAATATGGTTCCATGATGTTCATGAATGTAATGTTTTTGCCGCCGACTTTTCAGAGTCATATTGCAAAAACACCCTCACAGTGTTGGCATTGGGTCTTTAAATCCCCTTTACTTACTTTCTCTGATGTTTGAGATTATTAAGTCAGAGTTTTCAAGGGAGGCCAGTCCTATGTACTTACCTTGCTCACTTGATTGGTCACTTTCTTTGCAAACTCTATATCTGGAGGATCCGGCAGAGATGTGAATTGAGATTGCTGTTCAGCATGACCTTTTTTGTAGGCGATCTGACAAAATAAAAGACAGGGACGCTCATGAGCCACAGACAATTATTCTATTTCCCATGTTCCATTTGTTGGCAATTTTGAAAAAGACTATGTATTCATCTGTATTTGAAGTCTTAAACTTTAGTCTATCACGTAACAGTAACTTATCCTTGCAGATGCTACACGCCCTTGCTCTCAGTATTACCAGCAATTCCTATTTCGTTAAGTCTTCCCTCTTCAAGATTATTAATCCTAGATCTGTTTCCTTCCATTTGTATCCATGCCATGATTTGCAGTTGAAATTATTCTGTTAACTGGCATCCTCAACTCCCAATCTCTTGTCTTTACATCAGCTACCATACCCCTAGCTCTGGATCAACTCAACTACACACTTCCTCTTATATCCAGGATGATGAGTGACACTGAAGAAAATCACACAACTCTATTGATTGGATAATGATAATGTGATAAGCATGATTAAAAGGGCCACTGAAGAAGGTACAGAAGTGGGAGAGGGGGCCTCTTGAACCTAAGCCCTTAGCTTGAAGTCAGGGTGCCTACCTGGTGATACGTGCTTATGAACAACAGCTTGCTTGGGGCTCTGTGCCCGATACTCTGAGTTTATGGTATCCAATTGCCACTTTGCCTTCAATGAAGCTTGAAAACCCCATTATGCATCTCTGGTCAGGCTCTACTTTCAGTGGCTAGTGTAAAACCCCAAGAATGTCCTTAGGCCCCCAGTCAACTCTCAGCTTCCTCTCTCATAGAGTAAAGAGAGGCTATACATATGCTTAGCTTTCCCTGTACTCATCCCTCCCTCCCACCTGCTGCATGGTTCAGAGAATCAACCCTTGTGGGGCAGGAGTCCTGTACTCAGACAGCTAATCCCTCCAGTAGCCCTCTGGACCTAGATGCATCCATTGCCCCTTCTCTTTCTTGACAGCTTCAACTGCTCCCTCTTCATTAGTTCCTTTCAGCCTGTGAAAGGCCTCTCTTGTCTTAAAATAAGTATCATGTCTATTATCATGCAGCCCCTTCACTCTTTCTCTCTTTTTTTCCTCCACTACTAACTACTTAGACCTTTTCTTTCACCAATCTTGAGCCCTGCCCCCACAATGCTATTTGTAGGTCTCCCACAAGAACTATTTGTATTATGCCCCTACAAGAACTACTTGTAGGTCCCCAGACCCACAAAAACCTCTTATGCCTCTGAACCTTGTACCTGCTGTTCCCTTTTCCCTGGAATGCCCCAGCTCCACACTCTCCCCATGTGCCTGCAAGCTGCTGCTCATTCTCCACGTCACAGTCTCCCCTCCCTAACCTGAGGACCTTTTCCTGGGATCTCACTCAACTTGGCCCTTACTTCCTTTAAAGGAATTATCAGATGACACTGTGATTGGTTGCTTACACATCTGTCCCACCTTGGACTATGAGCTCTGGGATGATGGAAAACATACCTGCTCATCTGTGAACACTTGTGGCTTGCACGGAGACTGACTAGAGCGAAGGTTCAATGATTGATTTCTGAATGTGTGTTTTATACACTGTGGCCATTGGGGGAAATCACAAAAGGAGATTTATCATCCCAACTCTTCTCCTACTCACTTGTGAGACTTCTACAAATTATTTCTCCTTCCATGTGGCAGTATTCTTATTTACGACATAAAGAGGTTGGATAGTTCCAAGGTCCCAGTCATCTCCTTCGTGGTTTAACCAAGTCTAGCTATGTCTTAGCTTAATAATGTCTACCTACTGCCTATAACAAAAGCTTTTATGAACATTAAATCAACAGGGATACAAAACAGCAATTTTAAAATGTACTTATATTAATTCTACTGCTCAATCTTTGTTGTTGTTGTTGTTGTTGTTAAGTAGTGAAGACTTTATTGTAGGCATAGGGCAATTGGTATTTTCCATGGCTGGCTAAGTCCTCAGAGAGTATGCAACATCCTATCAAGAAAAATGCTTACTAACTATGACATTCTGTCAAGAATTTTCAGAGAAATCAGATCTGGAAGTCCTAACTTCTCAGGAACCTTATTCAGAATTCTGTATAGTTAGAATTCTGCACTCTAGTCAGCTTAAGGACTCTCTTGGGGTTTGCAAAGTATTTTGTCTCTGCTTAGATAACAAGAAAAACATAGTAAGTAGGGTTCAGAGAAAGTGGAAGAAGGCGCAGGAGAGGGAGAGAAAGCCTCTGAATCCAAGCCCTTAGTCTGAAATCTACATGCCTATCCAGTCGTATGTTCTGTGAACAACAGTTTGCTTGGGGTTCTGTGCCCAATAACTGTAGAAGTTTATGGTACTGACAACATTATTAATAGGCATGTTGGTAATCTGATACTTAGTGCATAGTTAATCTGCAAAACATAAAAAATAAAAAATAAAGGCCATACCTTAACTGCCAAGTTTTTCTAAGGATGGGAAGATTTTACTTCATTGTTATATATTCTCCATTATGTACTCTGTTGAGAGATCTCAAAATACGTGGCCAATTTTAACTGTTCAAAGTCCATAGCACTGGAGTGGCATGAGGTGTCCCTTCATCTCTCCATTTTATGGGTAAAGGGAGACATTTGGAGATTAAGTGTCTTCTTGGAAACCTCTTCCTAGGCTTACATGACATGGCAGTTCCTGGTTGTCCTTCAACTTCTCTGTTCGTGGCTGGCTCCTTTCCAGATGTCCTACGTGTGGTGTCCTCCAAAACTCTGCCCTTGGCCATACACTGTTCTGCCTCCCTCATACATGGTCACACCTGCAGCTGTCACTTTTATTCTGATGACTCTCAAATGTTAATCTCTTTCCTACTCTCACACCTATGCAACAGTATGAAACTTCTAATTTATCTATAAAATGTCTTGATCTGAATGTTCCATTGTCTCAACTCCATTTCTCTTTCCACAAATGCATATTTACCACTTGTACCCCTATATACCCAGACTACCAGTCTTTCACATTAACTCCTCTATGGCTCCTTTGTTTCTTTCGTCTCCAATATCCAATGTCCTTAACACTTTTACAATACTTACTACCTTCAGATTCCGTTCTTCTCCTTTGTCCCGGTCATCCTTTCAATCCTTCTGTATTACTTAAAATAGCCTTCTTAAAATTATCACAATTTTTCTAGTCTCAATGCATTGTATTGTCTGTAAAATTTTTCCATTTGCTTTTAGCATATTGTTTTCCCCACCAAAACCATATGATATCTCTTATTGAATACATATCATGTCAAAGCTATTTTGCCTGATTTTCAAGGTCCTGCTGCCAGTTTCTTAAACATGGTCTCCTAACTAGGCACACACAGCATTCACCTTCTTTGCCCTCTCTAGACTCATTTCACTTCTGTCCCTTTGTTCAAGTGCTCGCTCTACTTGAAAAGCCTTTCCTGTTCATCACTGCCCATTCCCTTTGGATTACCACTTCCACATGGCCTTTGCTAACTGCTTGCATGTGCCCTGTCTTTCAGCAAGTATTAGACTATAGAATTTGCTTTCTATATAAATATAAAAATATAAAATTAAAAAAATTTTAAAAATTTTCATGTTATTTAATATATAACACTTTCATGTTATCAGCCTGATTATAAATTCTCAAGGGAAAGGATATGAAAACTTCTTATACTTTTCTATCCTGCTAGGTATGCATGCATAATGGACTTTCAACACATAACTATTAACATTTATTTATTTTTGAGACAGAGACAGAGCATGAACGGGGGAGGGTCAGAGAGAGGGAGACACAGAATCTGAAACAGGCTCCAGGCTCTGAGCTGTCAGCACAGAGCCTGACGCGGGGCTCGAACTCACGGACCGCGAGATCATGACCTGAGCCGAAGTCGGCCGCTTAACCGACTGAGCCACCCAGGCGCCCCTCAACACATAACTATTGATCACTTGATAAAGGTTACACAACAGTATTGTAGATTTATGAGATACAGAACCGGAAAGCTAAGTTAAAAGAGAAGCAAGAGGTCCCTACACATCAAAATGGGTACTGTGTACTAGACGGCCTTAAATTTTTGTTATGGCTTCATTAGTTGCTAACTTACTCTATGGAAAGATATGAGTATTTCTAGGCTATATTTTAACCAATTATATGCAAATGGAGATAGAAATATGTCCACTAAATTTGCAAGTGATATCAAGTGAGAGGCAATAAAAAATTAGACCTCAAAAGCTGGAGATGCCATCAAATGAATATGCATAATTCCAGTACAGGGCAAGATAGGATCCTAAGATCCACTGGAAGTAAATCACAGTAATTTTCAACTGACTTGTTGAAAATTTCAACTGACTTACATTCACAGTGAATATAAGAGGTTCCGGGGGCTTAGTTGACAACTGAATGAAAAACAACTTGTTAAATAATAAAACGGTGCTCTCCTGAAGACTAGAGTAGTAGTCTTTTCAATACGGCAGCTAACAAATCCAGGGGTCAAGAAATAAAGAACCTCAAAACAAGGGAAAGTGCTAGAATCGAGTGGGGCTCTCTGCTGCTGCCACTGCTTTCAACCTAAGGACTAAAACTATTAGGCTTTTTAGTTCCTCTAATAAACTGTTTTCAAGGTCTAAAATACTAAAATTCTGGCCAGGGGACTGCTGATTTTTACTAACTCTGAAACATCCTCCATGTACACCCAATGGCAAGAGCTTTTTGCGAACTACACAAACATGTTTGGACAAGTATGTCAGTCCACGTAGAAAAACGGGGACAGACCACAATTCAGACTTCATAATTAGGATACTTCAATAACATTTTTCACTTAATATGTTTGGGAAAGTGGCTATGATCTCAATAGGTTTTTAAAAATGCCCCTGTGACATCAAAGAAAAACTTCAACTCCAGCCAAGGGGACAGAGGGCACATGCTGCAGTGGAAAGAACACTGGTCTTGAGATCACAAGACCAGGCCTCTAATCTGGGCTTTGCCACTAATGACCTATGTGGTCTTAGACTCAGGTTCTTCACCTATGAAAAAACAAGATTGGACTAAATTTTATCTAATATAAGTTATAAAATCCAATTTAAGTAGACATCATAAATTATAATGATTCTAGATGTATTCATCTGCAATAATGACATTTAGTCTTTTCGAAAGAAGAACTGCAATGAACATGTGGCCAGAAGACAATCTGAGGTCTTCTGATTCCACCCTGCCAATGAGGTTGACTGTATTTTACTTACATCACTGAGGGCTTTCTGGGCTTGGGCAACCCTCCTCAGCTCTGGACTATCATTGTATGGGTAAAACAAGCTCTTGTCAGCTTCCCAGTCTTCAGTGTACAGTTTCTAAATCAGGAAAGAGTGAAAAGTTATGAGAAAGTGAGCTCACACTTACAAGAAATATACAATTTTGAATTCATCTATCAATAGCAAAAAGAGCCAAGGGCAAGGTGAGATCAAAGGTAAATAGAATCCACAGATAACCTGCCCCTTTCCACCCAGAGTCATATTTATTAATAGCTCATCCTGCTTTCCCGGCAAATCTTATTTTCAGAAGAGTAAATGTGTCTGCTTTGGTTTCTTCTCTGGGACTTCACCTGCTTCCTGCAACAAGTACTAATCCAAGTGTAAGGAGCCGGGAGGCACTTAGCATAGTTTCTGTCAGAAAATAAACCTTGAGTAAGAGTGATGGCCAGAAATATCCAAAGTGTAGCCCAGGGTCTATACTTTGTGGGTCTCTCAGAGCCAGTTCCCCGGTGCATCTTCGTTCTCCCCATGTGTTCCTTCATCAGGGTTGCTCAGGCTCCCACCAGGACCCTCTCCTCTCCTCTACTCCACAGCTTTCTTCTCAGTTCCCCCTTGCCAACACTTACCCCTGCAACCTGCATGGCTCAAGGCTACTCACAAAAAGACTGAGGAACTGCATTCCTGATTATCAAAAGTACTGGGTATTCCTCTAAATTACACATTGGAAGGACATAGGAAGACAGAAGTCACGACAGAGCAGAAGCTCTTACCTTACTGAACATGGCTGTGTTCTTAACTGCCTGGACAAGTTCAGGGGCATCAGGGGGAAGCAGGTACTTATCCTTGGTGTCTTCCCAGTTCTGCTTGTATAAAACCTAGACAGAAAGAGCAGAGGACGTGTGGTTGATGTCTCCCCCAAGGGCATGAGGGTTTAGAGAACACAGTGTTGTGAAGTCTTTCATTATCAAAGTGTCCTCACACAAGAGGCTGCCCTTGTGCCTTTGTTTTACTAGCATCAATTGTGAAAACATTGACCATGTCAACATCCCATAATACTTTTCCTGCATTAGTAAGCTTTTACTTGAAAAGTCTGATTTTTTTTTTTAACTAAATCATGATTATGATTCTCTATAGATTCCTTTTAAAGGCTGCAATCTTACCGGTCATTGGCTCAATTTGGATAGTAAATGTGTTTCTTTTGACTTACGTGTTATTTTTTAAATGTTTTTAATTAGTTGCCTACATTTGAAATTTGAGCATTTCTCATAAAAATAAAGCTCCCTAGCCTCTTTAAAAATAAATCAGAGACTCTGGGGACATTGGGACTGCACTCTGTATAGCAGCTGCCTGGAGCTCAGTTGCAGGGCATATGCTCTCCAATCCACCATAGGTCCTATGGCCACTTCAGTCATCTGTGCAGCCTTCCTGACATGTGTGGATACCAGAGCTCATGAGGTCCCTGGATTTAAGTGAGACTGGTGAGCAGGATCAGGCCTGTCCAGTTTTCTCCTCTAAGGCCAGGTAGAGGTAATCTACGTGCTACTTAGCATCTCAGCCATCCATAACATGACCTCACCTTACTGACTTGCTGCGACACTTTCTTTGCATGTTCAATGTCCTTTGCTTTTTCGTCTACGTGACAGATAGTTTTAGCAACATCGCCATCCATTCGATACTTAACCTGCAGAAATAATATACAGAGTTCATGACAGGCATGCACACGTGAGTATACTAAAGGGTACCTTCTAACAAAAGGGCATTAACCCAATGACTCAACGTCTGCACCACAAAGCAGACTTTCCACATTTTAGGTAGAAAACCGTGATCTCCAAAAATCGGCAGAGTCCCTGCATTTATTGCATATCTGCTTTCCTGGCTGAATTTCAGCCTCCCTGCTCTCCTACATGGAAGACCACAGTGAATTCGAATTTACCAGCTCGTATCTCTTAAGCTAACTTGCTAAGCCAAGCTTTTAGAGGTCTCTTGGGGTTCACATTTAGAGCAACATAGTCTATAGCCAATACTTCCTCTAGATTTCTGGACTGGCTCACAGCAATTCGACTGCTCATTTTCTCTACACCAATTAAAGCCCTCAATTCCCAGTGATGGGCATGTTTTTGACATGTCTGTCTCCTTTCTTTTAGCAATGCAGCCCACCTCACTGAGTTGATCTTGTACTTTCTTGATTCGACGAAGTTCTGGGGTATCGGATGTGATGGCGTATGGCTGTCCTTTAGCTTTCTCATACTTCTCCTTGTATTTATTCTGAAAAGAGTATCAGATATTAGCCTAAAACCTGATAAGACAGCAGCAGAAATTTCAGGCAATGTATTTATCCCCAATAGATTAAAAAAAATCCTGCAAATTCTAACAATTATCAGTTATAACAGCTTTTGTCCCCTACCCTGATTCTCAGCAAAAACTAAAATAGATTTGTTAATTGCTCTTCCTAAACACAGTTGGATACTTGAGACAGTAGAAATTTTATTACAGACTATTGTCTTGGAAATGCCCTAAAATGATTCTCTCAATGTTTTTATTGCACACATAAATGCACACATAAAAAGCCAGAACCTCAATAATTTTAGCAAATATAGAAATTATCTGAAAAGATTTGATTGCTAATACAATGCAAAAATATTCCATTCAGGAGTTCAATCTCAGTGGTTCAGATAGCTGAGACACCAGCTGAATTAATGGAAAGTCTGAATTATGGAGTATTTTGAAAAGGAATGCAATTTTGTTATTTCTGCTAAATATACAGAGTTCTCACTTTAATAACAACGTGTATAATTTATCATTATTAATGCTTCAATAGTACTCTTGAATGTAGTCAGCAATCTAAATTATACTCTTGATTTTATCAGTAACCATTTAAAAAATACTATACACCTTCGACAACATTTTCTTCAAGCTAGCAGAAGTTCTAGGATATTAGTGTCAGAATTTGAGACTTTATGGCAACAAACTGACAAAAAATTTTCTATTTTTGCTGAATACCGCAAGGATAAAGGAGGCAAAATAATCTTGTTTTTACAGATCAAAGTCTTAGAAAACTAGGTTTTAGATCATTCGAGACTCTGAACTAGAAATTTACCAAATAGTCCCCAGGAGTTAACACTAAACCAGACATAAATATTTACTGACCAATCGCAACAGGATGCTTTTGACATAAGCATTTAGTCCTATATAATCCAATGTTCCCCTGAACTGCTTTTTGTTTTTTTACAGCTGCTGGAGGCTATGCCACCTAGTGAGACCTCAGCCCACAAGGGCAATCAATAAATGAGATCCAATCTGCTTCCAGTCAATGTAACTTGTTACAGTCTAACCGTACATGGAAAGTTAAGGACCAGGGACCTTCAACGGCAGTGATTCTGGACTAAGGCGGCACATTAGAGCCACCTGGGCCGCTTTTAAAAATCTTTATGCACAGGTCCCAACCGCGGATAAAACCAGAACAGCCTGGGTATCCATAATTCTAAACCTCCCAGAGGATCCCAATGTACGGCCACAGTTAAAATCCACTGTTCTGGGGTATAGTCGAACATTCCAATCCTCATTTCAGAGGAGTTCTTACTCTGATCCTGGTGTTCTGAACTACACATTCTTCTTCGCTATACAACTCTTAAAGATCGTTTTACATATTGTTAACTAGTCTACTTTAGGGGCATCCTGCTCAGGCATAGTTTTAATTAGACGTTATTTAGCTTCTTTGAACTGATTTCAACTGAATATATTCAGGACTTCATTATTCTAGATTGGCTAACAAATTGTGCTTAAATACCAATAAATGCTGTATGATTGGCCTTCTGCTTATTTTGTGGGAATAATTTCAGAAAGGATGTTTTCCCTGATACTGCAATGGTGCAAATGAATTAGAGGAAAGGAAAATTAAAGAGTCACAAGAGCTTATATTTCTGCAGAATAAGTTGTTGTCTCATAGGAGGTTGAGAAACAAAATCCAGCTAGCATCCAAAACAGAGTTGGTAGAGATCAGTAATTTCTCACTAATAAAGCCAGATTAGCAGAAATGGTTTGAAACTTACAGGGCTAAAGAGATCCTGCATTTTCTGACTGTGTACAATGTAGGGCGTCATGAACTTAGAAGAATCCAATTTCTTCCGGATAACCCTCTTCCTCTCCACTGGCTTGGCTGGTACCGGCTGTGCCGATACTGGCTGTACCAGTGCCGGTTTGGAAGTTTCTGATTGATCATAGTCAGATGTGATTGTCCTTGTTGTCGTAGTTTCATAGACTTTTGTTATTGTCTGAAAATGTGACATGCAGTTCAACATTGTTATGTAAGTAAAAACCGTGATATCACCATCTTGTATATACACATTATTCTGACCTCGAGTCAGACTTACATTCCTAGTGTTATTCCTACATATTTAAAGCCAGTCAAAGCAGGAAATCATACACTCGGTCCATATGAAGGTACATCACGTTACATAAATCTGAATGCTGACTGTCCAAGATGGTGTGGAACAAAAAGTTTACTCCTTAGTAATTTGCTACAGGGCCTTAACATTCCATTTGTAGAAAAGAACCCAAACCCCTTAAGGTTGGATGAAAATCAGAAATACAGTATTCTTAACCATTTAAAATCTTAAATCGTCTAGGTAAAGTAAAAGCAAACGTGAGATCAAAGAACAAAAGATGAAGATGATCAAATAAAGCTCAAATTCTTGATTTTATATTCACTTGCAAATGAGTCTAAGAAGAAGTTGGTTGCTTGTTCCCCAGGTCTTTAGGCATTCTCCCCTGCAGTCTAACACAAAGAATAATGAATTCTAAAGAATGAATCACATCAGTATTACAAGTGATTACCATTCTTTTGGCTTAGTCAGTTAATTAATCTGAATCGGAGTGCCATTTACACCAATAAATGCTTAGGTGGACAAGGATAACGATGACCACATAAGGGGGTAATTATCCTTACAACAGTCCTATGCATGCGGTAGGTGGGAAATGACTGTTTCTTACAACAGGCTGTATAGTGGAAGAAACTAAGGCCCAAAGTTTGGGTGTGGTCCAAGGTTAAAAATACTGGATGTAAGAAAAGAAGGTAAGCAGACAAGTCTTCAATCCATCTCACAGCATGATTTCCTTCACAGCTAATATCATCTGTACCAAATGATGAAGAGAAACTTAAGTAACAAGGAAATTGTACCTCTACGACAACTTCCCCTAGTGTTGTCAGATCATTGCTAATAGGTGGCTTTCTGCCTATTATTACTGACGTACGGTTGATGGTGAGAAATGAACCAGTTCACAGCATCTACAAATGTTAGGTTTCATGCAATCATAGGCTCTTGGAGCAGGCTCCAGGGATAGCCATCCCTGTTTGTCACGATCAAGAAAAACTGCTCTTTTCAGAAAATAAAGCGTGAGTGAGGGATTTCACCTTAGAAAAAAAGTTCCACCTTGGAATATCTATGGGAATGGCTTTCTTAGAATTCCTAATGTGCTAAAATCTAAGTGGCACTTCACTGCATCATCAGGGACATAGGCTTCGTGGTGCTGTCCCTGTTGGCAGAGACAGTGCCCCACAAGTTACAACTCTATATAATAAAACAGCTGGTTCCCATGCAAATCGTATGTCCAAGCCTATGTGATTGCTGCAGTCACAGAGTGGTGATGGCCATTGATATTGCTTTAATGAGCACCACCTACACCAAAAATACTACACGAACAATGGGGGAATGAATGATCCCCAATCACTTTGGATACGTTCAATAGCAAGAACAGGGACGTATTCTGTCAAACAAGTAGCATTCATTCTTGTATCATCTGCTGCTGGGCACACGTAGGTGAGGGATTCTTCTCAGATTCTCCCTTTGCCAGCTCCTGTAGCCCTGGAAGTCTGTGAGAGGGGAAGGCTCTACCTGCTTTAATCAGCATGCAGTTCATGCAGACACAGGTTGGGTCTTACCTCTCCTGGCACCTCTTCATAGACTGTCTCTTCTGTGTAGTACTATAAATAGAGCACAAAGGAATTATCATGAGAACAAAGCAGAAATCACCTCTCCTCTGCCTCAGCTGAACCACTGGATTATTTCACTAGGTCAGCCAGTGTGTACTATCTGTGGGAAGCAAGTACACAAGGGAGCATCTTCACATTTTGGGACCCATTTTAGCTTTGTGAAACTGCAGGGGAGTTAAAGTGAATGCTACCAGACAAGGCAAGGAGATGCAGGGTGATGAGAAAGGTGTCTGAGGCTGATTATTTATTAGGGGCAGTTATTTAACTTGAGACAAGGTAAGACTTTTTCTTACAGTACCCAGGGCAGAATTTGCAGAAAAAATATACTAACAATATCCTGAGTATGTGGGTTGGGCAGGAAAAAAAAAAAAAAAAAAAAAAAAAAAACTTGCCATAACTCACTATTTGTGACTAACAATAAAACGAAACAGAAACCTCAATGTGAATAACATTTTTAACTGGATTGTATCATGGGAATAATAGACCCAAAAGCATATACACATCTCGATTATCCGTACACCCTCCTGATTACTAAGGAATGAAAGTTTCTTCCAGAGTGCGGGGTGTATCCTTTCATAGCACAATGGTCTTGAAAGGATGCAAAGATGAAAATTTACAAATGCCAAGGGGAGAGTGAAAACATGCAAAGATTTCTCAGCACAAGATGTGGGAAAGTTAGGCTGCAGTTTGTAGCTGACGGCTGCGAGGTGCCTGCAGCCTGGATCTGAAATCAAACCTACTTTTGTTCTACTTCTGACATCACTGGCAATAAATAGATGCTGATGGGAACTGGCTGACATTTTGTTTCAGATGCGTAAGGGGAGTGGAATCTTTCCCCCAGCCTCACCCAGCAAGAAGCAAAGCCTCAGGCCGAGGCACAAAGGAAAGGGATAAAAAGGAAACATTTGGCTCATTTTCTCAATCAACAAAATGTATAACATTTTATGCTTCCTTTTTCTTTTCCCTGCCACCAAAACATGCTCAGGGAGAGGGTAAAACACTGACTTCTTAATTTCCCTCAGTTGGCCTCTGTTCTTTTGCCCCTTGGTTCAGTGAACGCTTATCAAGTTATTTAACCATTGTCAATAGGCCGCAGGCTCTATTTCGTCTGCAGCAAGATAGGAGAAAATTTACCTAATGTCACCTACTCTTGGGCTTTCTTTGCTCCTGTACTATTTCTTTAGTTTAAAATCTAATTCTATCAGTGTGTCCTTACACAGAGCGACAGAAACCACAAACTCCGACAGAACAGAGAATTTCTCTTTTATATGCCTGTGCCTTTGTCACACGGGAAATATCATTTGGACATTTTAGGGAATACTGTTTAATGCTGATCCACACACAGCCATGCCTGTGGCCACACAAAACATCAGTGACTCGAGAAGAAATTTTAAACTAAAATGAATGATTCACAACTATTTTGGATTTTCTGAGCCCCCAAGCAAAAGCAGATCTTTGGGAGCTATCCAACTTTACCTTTGCTGGGCTCTCACCATTAGTAAATGTATCTCGGAAAGAAGCTTATAAAAAAAGTAATGTTACCCAAATGGTTGGCATTAACATATATGCCAAATCTCACTTTTTTTTAGAGCTGTGCCACTAATTAGATAGTACATCCTTGCTTCTTGTCCTTTCTATCCAAGTTAAAATTTTTTTTTAATGTTTATTTATTTTTGAGACAGAGAGAGACAGAGCATGAACGGGGGAGGGTCAGAGAGAGAGGGAGACACAGAATCTGAAGCAGGCTCTAGGCTCTGAGCTGTCAGCACAGAGCCTGACGTGGGGCTCGAACTCACAGACCATGAGATCATGACCTGAGCCGAAGTCGGACGCTTAACCGACTGAGCCACCAAGGCGCCCCAAATCCAAGTTTGAATAGAGATGGATAGCACAATTTTATTTAGATGTCCAAGGTCCCCAGAAGATATATTTTTAAAGCTAGCTCTTGTTTTTGAACTCTTCCCTGACCATCTTCTCAAATTTGCCACCATCCCGTTCTTCATGGCATCTTTTCTGAGGTCAGAGAGCCCTTGGTTGAACACTCTCTGGCAGGAAGTCTATCCATTTAGCAACTGCTGGTCAGACCCAGAAGCAGTACTAGGAACAAAATGGCAAGGATGAGATGCCTAAAAATAAAAATAGTCCCCTCCGTTTTTATGACATCTAGTTAAATCAGTCAAGTCTAGCACTGAGGATAACTTCCAGTGACCAATGAATACAATTATTTTAAGAAAAACAAGGGATTTTTTTAAGTTGGAGGCTAAAAATTATCACTGGTATTACCACCATAGGGAAGGCAATTTAATGTATAATTGTGTCAATGTTTTAATAGACATTATTCTGATCCATAGGGACATATGTAAAACAATAACACCAGTGATAATACTGAACACTGAGAATGTAGCCTTTGGCACTTAAGCCAGAGAGGTGGAAAGTTCTACTGTAGGAGATTCATCCTGTGTTTTTTTCCCTAGATCCTTCAATAATAAAAGGAATTTTATTTGTAGAATAACAAATTTTTCTTCACCTAAACATAAACTGGCCGCTAAAATAATCTTCCAAAGACAAATTTTGGCACTTTAATTTGGAATTTGGTTCTGGGTAGCTCTTGATTTCATTCTGATGAAGAAGCACAGATTTTCAAAACTACCTCCAAGTATCATCGGCACTCGGAGATTTTCATATGTTTAGATCATCATTAATTATGAAGTATCAAGCACTTTCAGATTCAATGGCAATATATTTATATGGATTATAGCCCCTAAGCCTTTAGGTTTTATTTCTAGAATGTGAAGCTGAAGGCAAGAGCTGGTGAAGAAAAACCATAACGTGATTTTAAAATTTTTATAAGACAAACAATTAACAGCTTTGTAAAATGTGTCAGATGTCCAGAGGAAGTTTTTTTAAGATGTCCACTTCGGTCTTTGCTTCCCCACCCCC